GACCTCGACGTCGCCGACGCTAGTCTGATCCAGACACAAAATGTTGTGAAGTCTATGCCATACGTTCTCGGCAAAGTCAGATTTGCATCAGGACTATTGGTCCATGGCAAACGGTTCCTTGATTGGGCATTCGTCGAGCTTACAACCGAAGCCCAGCAACGGTACTTCCGCCCGAACATAGTACCTGACATCCCGCAGAAGCAGAGGCCCACGTCGACTAATCTCCTATCTGGTGGATCTGCAACCTTTCTTCCCCGGCCTAACAGCTCTATCACACAGTTTGGTGAACTACAGACTGATGAGTACTACTTCAAGAAAGGTCGTACCACGGAGGTGACTGGGGGCATCTGTAATGGTGCGAAAAGCGTCTGTCAGTGGAAAGGGCGACGATATGAAATCGATGGCGCTGAAATATCAATGGCAACCCATATCACCGAAGAATATGTTATCACTCGTGTGGATGGCGATTTCCTGGAGGATGGCGATTCTGGCAGCTTCGTGATCTCTGCCGACAGAGATGTTGCAGGAATACTATTTGCTGATGTGATCCACGAGGGAAACCGCATCGGAGTAGCTTTGAATATGCCAGATGTCGTCGAGTCGATGAAGCTCAGGCTGAATCACTCCGTTTCTCTGCATCTTCCTTGATAGTTCTTTGCTTTTTCTGTCAGAGTATGCTGATAACTCCGCTGTACTCCTCTAACAGCATTTGCTGACTTCTCGCCATATGCATTTAGTTTTGACTATTGCTGGCCTGTATTCATATCATCATGGCTCTGCCATCCCCTTTCCTCTGTCGTCTTTTGAAATCCATAGCTTTTTGCTTAGTCTTTTACGCAATCTACTCTATCAGTGTCAATATATCCACTGTTAGCCCTCTAATATTCTCGAATGTATCAATAGACAATGGCAAATAATAAAACAAGGATCATATCAAGGACCGGCGAAGGAGCCGATGGATAGGAATCAGGGAATAAATATGCCATTCCTTCGACAGTAGCGCATATGCAATGGTGGCGCAGTTTCCCCATTACAATAGTTATATTTTTCTGGTATTATAGATATTAGCTTATAGTAGTAGATAGTATTATCCTTATCTTCTTTCTCATTTTGAAATTTATATATAAAGCTATATAATATAGTATATGTAATATACTCTTAGAGTACTTTCTATATCTTCTTTTTAAAAAATATATTTTTAATAGCAAAGAAAATAAAAGAAAATCCAATGTTCTTCGCACGTTCATCTGAGAAGCAGCACATTCATTACTATGTGCTGGATCAGTCCGGTTGGCTAGATGATAGCGCTCTCAGAAGTCATAAATACATAGATTTTGGTGAGTGACAGTTGATTCGACATCTCATCCAACGCATTATCGATGTCTTTCCACTCAGCAAGTGTGGGGGAGATGTCTGGCTCCTGGGATATGCCCATAGCAAGTCCCTCTTCATGGATCTGGTCAAGTTCATTCTTCATTTGGCGCAGGTGTACGTTGATAGCCCGTTTCTTAATACTCTGGCGGTTCCCGAGCATGTAATTATTTCGCCATACTGAGTACGGTTGGAATAAAGAAGAGATTATCCGACCCAGCAAGACTTCTCGCTCGAGCCTTGTCGCTCGGCCAGGTATCGTGCGGGGCATACGGCGCATTGCAGAAGGGTGGAAGCCATGTACAATATGGGTAACATGTTCTTTGTGTGAGAACTCTGATACTCGTTTGTTTTCGGCACCTCGTATCGATGATCGTAGCTTTTCAGCCGCCTCATGCTTCAGTGACGGCCAGACATTTGCCCCCTGGAAATTAACACATTGGCACGAAAGGATAACCGGCGGCTTGAACGTGTAAATAAAATCAAGTGTGAGCGCAAAAATTTCATCAATTGCTTTTTTGCGCTCATCGGGGTGACTTTTCACCCATTTAACGGTCAACATTGGAAATAAGTCCACGATGATGATGTCTTCAAGCTTTATTTCAAGCCTTTGCAACTGTACTTCGAGCCAGAGTAGAGTTTTGGTTTTTGCCACCATCTCCTTGTATTCCAAATGGTCATGTATTGGATTTTGAAGCAAGATCCAGGGGAATGTGCGAACCCCGCAGAGCAGTTTTTGAAAATTTTGTAAGCCCATTTTCGATAAGTTATATTTTTCGCGAAGCTTCTCGGCCCGGCAAGATAAGGATCGGTTGGAAGAATCCGTTCGATTTCTTTTTGCACCGCAAGGGCAGGTTTGATTGTCCTCTCCACAAGCATTTCCAGTGTTTGTACTAGCGAAAGATCACCGAAAGATTTGCTAAGTTCGTCCATCTCGGTACTCATATTGGCTGATTTTCGGAGTTCTGTGGCTGGAGAGAGAATGGATCATGATCAAAATATCTCGCAATAAAATGAAGTCGATGCAAGATAGAAAATATTAGCGGGAAAAATCCGAGTACTGCTCTTGATTACCTCGGCGCAAACGAATGGCTCATAAAATAGCCCCTTCTGCCAGATATTCGAAATATCAAGACCGACATGAAGAGCAACTATTATTCGTCCAAAAATTTCCTATCAAAGCAAGGCTTAGCCAAGGCTCAATACTCACAGCCTACTAAAATGCTGTGATCGGTCAGAACGAGGTCTAACTAGTTAGTTAGTTATGGACATGCTATATTAGCTAATGAAAATGCGTTGGAAAGTGGGTCATAAGACACGGCCCGCCGGGGAACCACTTGATTGATTAGGTTTATTTGGCTTTGGTTTATCCAGACCGTCTTACAGTTTCATACTCATCACATATGTCTGGACTCAACTACAACTATATTTGTGCTAATAGGAGATATTCTAAACCTTTCATCAAAAAGGCCTGATGTAATCTGAGTACAGCATGGTGGTAACAATTCCATGTTTGGGATGGAAGGCGTTTAATTCGAGTTTATGATTGGCCATGGAACCCCGAGAGCTAAAGTTACATAGTAAAGATATTCTCACCTTGGGATTCTCACCCAAGTCGCGCGACTGCCGCACTGATCCTTCCAGCTAAGCTACAATTTAATATGATTGGACTGCTGCCCCCTGGAACACTCGTTCTCGTAGCATATACAAATAGGCACCCGAGGGAATGCATCGAAGCGTTGGAGAATCAAGCTTATGATTGAATATAAATGCGTCGGTGGTCACACACCCTACTAGAACCGAATCCCATGTTGCTTAAGTCTAAGCGGACGACTATGGTTGTAAGTACCTGGAATAGCCTGGAAAAATTATATGGAGCCCAAGCTGAAATAGGTAGTAGATGAAAAAAAAGTTAAGTGCGCCATAGACCGGGCGAGAAGGCGGAATCGCCGTCCGCTCTGGCCCGTGTTCCTATGTGCTTCCCGTAGACAGCCGCAAAACTATAACTATATTAGTAGCCAATGACAAAGAGAGTACCTAACTTCGCGTCACTGCGCATGACAAAAGTCCTATGTATCTGTCTCTCGGGCCTATCAAAAGCCGCTGAGAACCAAGAGAGACCTGATAACCCCTCTTTTCATCCCGAAGACGGCCCCGAGACAGCTCTCTACTATGCCTCATAGTATCAGTCCTTAGGCCTTTCTCGCTCAATCTTTTAGCGTTAATCTAGGTTCTGCGCCATGCTATTGTGATAGGGCAGCCTAAAGTAATTAATACAATTGGTCCTGCTCTAGATGATATAAAGTAATAGAATAAAATTTGTTATACCGAATAGTATATTTCGATCGATTGTCTCTAAATTCCCTGGATATCATAAATTTTTAATACCTCACCGATATTCTCGTATCGTAACTTCACCTATAGCTCCTCAGCCTCTACCCGAAATTATCAAACTCGAACCGGAGAACGAACCTCGGTGTGCCGGCTATGCCCTTTTTGAAAGGGCTGTCGTTGTTACGTCCTTATGAATATACACGGTCGTAGTTTAAGAGCGACTAGCGACTAATAGTGCGCCTTGGGACCATGCCATGGATCTGATCCTAGGGCCGGGTATGATGCTAGGAACTGAACGTGGGGTCTGATTTACAAAATGAAAAGTGGGCCCTAAAATGGGCTATTAATATAAGGAATATAACAATATAACTAAATTGACTAAAATATGACCAATACGTGGCCCCTGAATTTGGCCGTCTTTGCGGGTTTCTCGGATTTGAGCGCTCAGGAGACGGCTTGGTCAAATATACGCATTATTAGTGACCGATTTCGAATATTAACCGCCCATTCCAGATCCCGCCTCCGGAAGTCATATCCGACCCCAGGATCCACAACATGGTTCTCAGGCACTCTCTTGATCGCTCCGGGCTTACTGTATAGCTCCGGAAAACGGAGGGCGCAAGGCGAACTAGCGTTCACTGCGTTCCATGGGATCGAAGAGCCGCTAATGCGAAGTGATTTGGAGGCTAGACAATCCTACGATCAATGATTCGGCGCGTAGGCGAATACGGCGGGCTAATGCATCCAGGCTGTTCAATTGCAGCAGTGGCTTGCTGTGTTTGGCTGTCCGCTATTCTTTTTCCCAGGCGCTTTATTCTTTGGTTGCTGGGAGGAGAGTGTCTCGTATGTACAGTACTCCCCAAGAAAGTCGCGACCGACAGCAGAATCTCGAGATATATCTGTCCTTGTAAATTTCCTGTCTGCTTTACTGGGTAAATCTTTCCCCTGTCAATCTTCTCATCTGCTATGATATCTATACAGTCCGGTACTAATGTCAAGCCCCGTAACGATTGCCTCTCAGATTGAGTTCACCGCCCCGTCGTTTAATACCTATGCTTGGTTCGCCCAATCGCCTGGGCGATCAGACCCTCATTACCATCCGCACCTGCCGCCACTTGTGATCTGATCATCCTGCATTCGACTAGATCGTTATCGGCATATCTGCGTACTGCATTGTTACCCCCTGTCATGGACGCTCTTTAAGAGCCATCTGCCCCGGCTCTTGTCGCGCCCACTTTAGTTTTCCCACGGTCTTCCTCTTCTACTACCCTTAGTCGCTCATGCTACTATAAGCTATGCCGATCTGCCCAACTCAAGCATCCGGTCCCTCAAGTCGGGAAATGGAAGCATACCTATCGGCCCCTCATCCTTCGGTGAATGCCCATGGAGCCTCTCACTCGGCCCTAGAGCTTCCACTAGGTCATAGTGAGTGGGGTCTCGCCACCTACACTCAGGATCGTGACCGTTCCCTTGAGACGCGCTCCTTTTCCTTTTCGGATGAGCAAGTTCGCTCCATGGGGTTCGTCAGAGGTCATCCACCGGGTCATGATCAAGGTGTCTCTGTCCGCTCACTTAACCATCTCATCCCTTGCTAATCATATCTCGCCACCCCTAGATCGCCAAAGTAACAGCACCTCTTTCGATGGTACCGACAATATCCAATCTCCCAGCCATATCAAGCACTGTTATACAAACACCGACATCGATCACTCTGCTCAGGTCTTTAATGGAGACGTTGCCCGCGCTTACGATTCGTCTTCCACCAGAGAGCATCATTTACACGGTGGGTCCGTCAAAAACAAAAGTAGGCTTGTCAATGGAGATCTTGATAGAGATACCTTCCTGGCCATGTTCTGCAATTCCAATGGCGAAACTCAGTCCAGAGAGACGGCAGCGGAAGAAAGCTCACGCTCGGCGGCGTGAGCCCCATACGGAAGATTGGGCTCTTCCACAAGAGCGGGTTTGATTTTGACCCACCTCGCTGCTAGATTTCACCTTGATACATTCTACCTGCGAATTGATATATTCACGGGCTATCCTAGTGAGATCCCAGAAATCTGTCATGTGATCATGTACGGCCCTATGAGGACCGATCCTGCACTCATTACTCCCAACTCCTGTACTATAGTACTTGGTCGTTGGTTTACCTAACTCATACAAATCATGCGATCTTCTCTATAGGATACTAGAGACTCTCTTATTCATCGGGCTAGTTGATTACTCAGTGATTACCCGGCTCGCTGTCTAGACCCGGTGCGCTCACATGACCTTGATATGTGTACTTTTCTATTCTCTTATTAAGTAGAGCACTGACATCGGATAAGCGGCTCAAGCTGACCCCAGAACATTATATTTTGAGGCGCATTAGAGACCAAGAAAGTGGCAGAGGAAGCTGATAAGACCTCGGCCCCTGACTGAGATGAATTTAAATCATTCATAACAGAGTCTGACAATGTAGAAGCGTCCTGCTATCTTACCACCTACCCTCACATTTAATGTCTCACGTATATTACAAAAACCACATCACCTAGCATTGCGGGTACAAGGCTGAATATCTGGCCACTCGCAATCACCCTGAATTGAATCACTGACTGGGACAGATTCACCCTTCTCGGATAATATTATAGCACGATTAGGAGCCCTGCACCAATAAGACCAGCCATAACTCTGTTGGGACTTCCAGTCGGAGCTATTGCCCAGCCCTTGCTAGTCGAAGTGGCACTCTGGGCACTTGAAACGGAGGTAGAAGGAAAAAATCTGATCGGATTTGGTTCGGTGACAGTGGTTGGGACTATGGCACATGCAGTGACCGACACAGACACCGCCCCCAGAGATCGCACTCGACCCACTGCCGATTGCCAAGATGTTGTCTTCACCCGAACTGAAGTTTGTCGGCGCTATGGATATCTCGTTGTTGGACAAATCATAGACCACATAGATGCTCTGCAAAAACGTAGCACCTAGCACTGCGGTTTGTCCGCCACTGGGTACAATGCTGAAAATGCATACCTCGCCATCACCCCCCAGGATGAAATCACTCACTGGGATGCTAATATCGAAATCGGTGAATGTAAATGTCACATTATAGCCTTTTTGTCCCACGGTGCAGTTGAGTCTCCCGACATCGCCATAATACTAAGCACCCAAGTCTTTATAGATCTGTTCGATAACCCCATCTGGGAGATATGTCCATGACACCGCCGAGTCCAGAGCCACGTAGAAAGGTAAATCGGATGTCGTGTTCTTGGAGGCACCGCCGGCTTGAATTGCAATCCCTGTCACCAGGGCTACGGGGAGATGGTGGACGCCGTTGATAGCTGGAATAGACATGGTATGCATGTTCTCCGACGTACTTTGCCGTGTTGACACCACCAAAGGGAATGCTTCCTATGGTTCCAATAGAGTCATCCATCCACAGACTGTACGCGGCTGATTTGATGTCACCGGTTTTCATCAAAGCCTGGAGGATCCTCGCAGGGGCATCTGATTCTCGGCCCACAAGGTTTTCTAGGCCAAGAACATTGTCACCATCGATTCCAAAGTTGACACCTAGTTCCATGGCGGGTATAATGGCTCCATTGATCGCCACTTTCTCGTGTGCGAAGTCTCCCGTCAGAATATGGTCCTGATAATATGTCGCATTGAAATCGTGATCGAGCACCTGATACGTTGAGAAGCTACTGATGTTGAAGTATGCTTCTTCGTTTGTCGATTCACAATAGTTTGAGTTGGACGCGGTTATCGCGAGATACCCGCTACTTGTATCCAATCGAACTTGGATCTCCTAAAGAATCTTGCAAATTCTGGTTCCTCCTATAAAGGGGGTCAGTCATTCTATGTAGAGACTCCAGCAAGGAAGCCATACCTGAACTTCAAATGGTGCCGAGACTGTAGATATTCGTTTCTGAAGCCGGGTGGCAACGTTCTCTACGCGCTGAACTGGGATCTTGACAATTGCTGGTTTGTCCCGCTGGTGGAGTGACAATGCCTCGACTCCACCCCCGGCCAGGCAGGTGAGCCAGAGGAACCACTTGTGAATCATGTCCTCGCCGCTTTTCAAACATTACAAGGAAAGGTGAGAATATGTAATTCGGATGACAACAAATAACCTTACATGAGAAAGAAAACAAAAAACGAAAGGAGTAAGTGTGGCAGTTTCAAACGATCTCGACACTACAAGGGCTAAGCTTGAAATAGCCAAGTACCTGGGCAGGGTGACATTGGTCCCTGGTGGAACCTAAAATGGTGGAGATTAGGCGACGCTAACGATGCTTAGCCTAATTCTATACGAGGAAGCTATACTAGCTCGAACAATCAAATGCGTTTAATATACCGGAGCTGACCGCGTCTATCAAGCAGTGGGTCTCAAGCGCCTTGGATAACGGCCTCAATTAGGGCCTAGTGGCTGAAATTAAAGCAGCTTCTCCAACTTAAAATAACGCTCGTATACAATGGTTACGGAAATAATTGCCACATCTAGCGCGATCCAGGATATCTCGACGTTGCTCCTCGTCTGTTAGCTGAAGGATTTAAGAATGTCTCTATGAACTGCCTGTTATTTCTTTCTCATTGATCTATGTCAAGCCTCAAAGCTTTACAAGGAACATAGAAGACTTTGCATTTCTTGTTGGAGATTTCAGTTCTACTCATCTTTTATTTCAACAATTCACAAGTCTAATATATATTGTCGTACATACTTCTGTCGCTCCCTTCTCTAGTATCAAAAAGCAAACCTCGTATGTCATCGCCAACGTAAATAGTCAACTATATCGCACATAATTCTGCGATCCATATGGAGTCTGAAGTGCGTCAAAGAAAACGTTCGACTTTAGATTCGCTGTTTAGCTAGCGGAGCTCGGGCCGGAGTGGAGCCGCCAAGAGACACGAATACCTCGCGGATACGGAGTATATTCCGCGGAGATGTAGTGGTGAAGCCTTCTAGCCTTGAGTGACGACTGTATTCATCTGTGTAGACTGCGTATGTAGCAATATCGAGCTGGATCGAGGCAGTTTCCCGAAGAAGTCAATGAAACTGCGGACTGCGAGGGTACGGTGGTCTTTCTGCGGATAATCTTGGAAGCTTCTTCTTCAGTGATTGATCTGAGCCCTGAGGCGGGGATCCTGGTTTTTCTAATGCATTCTCAGGAGGAACCACGAACTAGTTATAAAATGGCCCGCCACAGACCCTGATTACATAATTTATCAGCACAGCCATAACTAACTAGTAGCACAGCCATAGTTACCTTCCAAGGTAATGCTACGAGTTTATTTTTGGTTGTACAAAATAAAGCGTCCATGATGAGCAACTATCAATTTATTTTAACTTCTGAACATACGTTGTTGTAGCTAGAGTACCATGCATTCTGTTTATCCTATCCATTTCGGGCAATAGTCGGTGGCGAACACTAAAGTCTTGCCCAGGATGTACCAGCGGGAAGAGACACCGATCGATCTCGATCGGAAGTCAAGTATAGAGTGATCTTGAGATTGGATGAGCAAATACAAGCATTCTTTATATTATGGAGGGTTGGTCTAGACTCTAGAATACAAAATAAGAATAGGGTATCAGATTTGGATGAGAACATCTTGTATCTTGCAATTTATATCCAGAACCTTGCTATCGTCTGGTATATTAGCACAATGTCATTCAATGTACTCCGTAGAGTCGATCGATCCAAAAAAAGAAAAATGCACAGACGCCAAGAGGTGTGGAGGCAAATCTTGATTTCGGTAGTTGATAACCGGAGAATTCATGTACAGACGGAGTAGCCGTTGCACGAGTTATAATATAGTATAGTATATTGCAACTACAAGATATCAAGCCTACCATTTAGAGAATACCATGGATCTTTGAAACAATATTTCTTGAATTTGCACGATGATATCAGCCAATGACTTGTGTGGCTGAACTCTCCACCCAATAGATTGAAATGATATCATACCTCATACCTCCGACAGGGACCTACCCCGACCATTATCCGGTTTTACTTGGGATTTCTCTTGTTTAGGGCTGAATCTACGACTTGCGAATAATATGGCGAATGCAAATATATTTGAGCATCGTCATTGAAAATATGCTTATTGTAAATGATTCCTATATTGTACTAACTGCCCGCGTGGAGAAACGAGTTATGGATAGTTGCACTGTTCAAGGGTTCTCATATGACTTCTGATGTAATGCGATTCGAAGTGCAGCTGGTGACCTTTTTGATTTTTCCCTGAAACAAGAACAGTGACAGGCAGTGGAGGCGACTTTCACATATGCACATGTGGCCTTCCTGATAGAACTTTGTGATTTGTTCGCCCACATCTGGCATAGCGTGGCTTCGGGGAATATCCATGGATATGCACTGCTACTTGACCAATCATGTTGCTTTGGGCATATTTTACTGTCCAGATAATCTAGAACCTTGGGACTTGACGTACCTGGCCAGGAACATGGTATGGATGGATTCGATATTGTAGTCATTCATGCAACGAATCAGACGTATATGCTTCCATGCTGGAGTAGCACGGAGCTCCACCTCCACCCTCGTTTTAACTCAGATTAAGCCACATTCCCCTCAATATCACAGTCCCGGGCCTCTGATTCGTGAGCCTACCCTGGAAGTATCGCATCGATCGACCAATTCCCAGACAAATCTCTGCTTGGCACGTCTAATTGCCCCGCTTTATGATGCCGATGATGCTATGCTAACGGCGCCTACTGTATCACGCCCTAACCGAGCATCGTGTAGATTAGCTCTATGCCGATCCCCCGAACTGGGATTTCAAGAAATGATTATAGGAAAAGGCGTTATGATATCAATGGTCCATGACGTAGTAAGCTCTGCATGTGTCCTGCCTGGTTACAGTCTCTAGGTAGACAGCTATGATGGACTTTTGCGATGATATCAGAATCACTGACCTCTTCTTATAAACACCAGTAATCGTACCAGGGTTTATTCTATTCATTATTCATTCCTATTCTATTTCTCTCATCTAGAAACAACAACATAACTATTATACTCCCGAACTATACCTGTTCCCGGGATTTGTACATTATATTTCACATACGCCTTTACGAAGTATACCCACGCCTTTAGCGGACACAACTGCATTCCAATTTGCAATTATCCGACTGGATTTTGATTTCTGTATAACAAATCATCTGAAACCAAAATATCCAAACCCGAAACAAGCATGTCTTCCCCCGCCGTGAACAAAGCACCCCCAAAGCTGGGCTCCAAGGCCGGAACCCCCGCCAAAGCCCGCAAAGCCTCCGGCTCCAGCGCAGCCAGCAAGCCCAGCACTGTCACCGCAAGCCCCAAGGTCACAAAGAAGACCGCCACACCCCGCAAACTCTCCCAGAAAGCCCCCGAACCAATTGAAGACGACGTCGACGAGCAGTCTATCCCAGAGACACCCTCCCCGAAGTCAAAGAGACGCACCGAGCAGCGCCGCCCCGTCTCCCCACCCGACGACGCCGCATCCCAGGCTCCTTCTGTCTCCGGCTCCGCAGCCCCACTCAGCCGCGGCGGCTCCAGCTTGGCCGGCAAGGCTAAGGATGTCGCTGGCAAGACGAAGGAGACAGCCGAGAAGAGTGTTGAAAGTGTCACAAGTGGCGCCAAGGATGCCACCAAGACTGCTACCGATAACCTACCCGTGCCGTTCGACCTGTCTGCTTTGAAGGGTCTTGATGTCGCCGAGGGCGGCAATATTCTAGGACAGGATGGGAACCCCATTGGCAAGGTTGTCGAGGGGGATCCAGAGGATCTCGTCGGACAAACCGTTGGTGATGACGGCGAGATTGTTGACGAGGAAGGTGATTTGATTGGTCGCGTCGATATCTTGCACGAGGTCGCGGACAAAGCTAAGAACGCCGCCGATGACGCCCAGGAGAACGTCGGAGAGGCTGATCTCGAGAACGTTGTTACGGACATCGCTCAGCTTGAAGGCCTCCCTGTTTCTGATGGCGGTGTTATCAAGAACGCTGCTGGTCAGATCGTCGGCCGTATTGTGGAGGGTGACCCTGAAGATCTTATCGGGTATACCCTCAACGACGACGGTGAAATTGTTGATGAAGATGGCGATCCCATTGGCCGTGTTGATTTGGTTCCTGTTGAGGATCAGAAGAAGGCCATCGAAGAGGCCACTGGTGATGCCACTGACAAGGTCGATGGCGCTAAGGGAGATGTTGAGGATCAGTACGAAGATGCTCAGGACGATATCCCCGCCGATCAGGCTAAGAGCGCTGTTGATGGCGCGGCTGATGAGGTTGAAGACGGTGTTTCCGATGCCGAAGGGAATGTCGACAAGGCTAAGTCTACCGCCGAAGATGCCGCCCCCGACGCAGAAGATGCTACTGATTCCGTTGATGGCGCTGTCGACGATGCTACGGACACCGCCGAAGATGGCAAGATTAACCTCGAGGATAATGTCGACGACGCCAAGGATACCGCCGAAGACAAGGTTGAAGGTGCCGAAGATACCGCCGAAGACGCCAAGGATGCCGCTGAAGAGACCGCCGAAGGTGTTACCGATGCCCCCGACGACAAGGTCGAAGGCGCCGAAGATGCCGCCGAAGATGCCGCCGAAGATGCAACCGATGCCCTCGACGACAAGGTCGAAGGCGCCGAAGATGCCGCCAAAGATGCCGCCGAAGATGCCGCCGAAGATGCCCAGGACACCGCCGAGGATGCTGCCGAAGATGTCGAGGAAAATATCCCCGGATTGGAGACCCTCGAAGGCAAGGTCTGCAACAAGCTCGGCTACATCATCGACGAAGCAACCGGCAAGCCCGTTGGCCAAGTGACCGAAGGTGACCCCAAGAAACTAGCTAAGCTCGGCTCGACACTCGACGACAAGGGCCAGTTCTGGGACAACCGCGGCAATGTGATCGGCCAAGCTAAGGCACTCCCTATCGAGGAACACGATGGCGACGAAGGCCCCTTCTCCGGTCTAGAGGGTCTCGTTGTCGGTGAAGACGGCTTTGTGGTCGACGAGAACTCGACCCGCGTCGGCCGTCTGATCGAAGGCGATGCGAAGAAACTGAGCGGCCGTGGCGTTGACGAGGATGGCGAAATCCTCGACCGCAAGGGTAACGTCCTTGGACGGGCTGAGCGCCTCGAACCCGAGGAAGAGCCCGAGGAGGAGGAAGAGGCTGGTCCTGACTTTTCCGCTGTCAATGGCCTCACATGCAACAAGGCAGGCTATGTCATCGGACCCGACGGCTATCCGATTGCCCGTGTTGTCGAGGGTAACCCCAAGGAGCTCGCCGGTAAGAAGATTGACGAGGGTGAGATTTACGACGGAAAGAAGGTCATTGGCCGTGTGGAGCTTATCCCCGAGGATGAGATCGACAGTAAGCCCGAGGGTATCTTCGCTGGCATGGACAGCCTCTTTGTGACCAAGGATGGATTCGTCGAGGATGATGAGGGATCCATTGTTGGTAAGCTTGTCGAAGGCGAGGCTAAGAAGCTTCGTGGTCGTGCTGTCGACGAGGATGGAGAGATCACCGATAAGTACGGAAATGTCAAGGGCCGTGCTGAGCCCTACGAGCCCCCCGAGGAGGAGCCCGCTCCCGAAGAAGACCTCTCTATTCTCGATGGCAAGGTCGTTAATAAGTCTGGCAATGTTGTTGATCCTACTACTGGTGCAGTCGTTGGACGTATCCTCGAAGGTGATAAGCGCCTCGCTGGATGTAAGGTCGATGGCAAGGGTCAAATCTGGGGTGACAATGGTAAGGTTGTTGGACGCGCTGGGCTTATCCCTGGCGCTGAGCAAGATAAGGCTGAAGGTCCATTCTTTGGATTCGATAACGCTATTGTCGGCAAAGATGGAGTTGTGCAAGACGGTGACAAGATCATCGGACGTCTAATTGAAGGCGACGCCAAGCGTCTCCTTGGCCGTAAGGTTGACGAGGAGGGTGACGTCCTCGATAAGAACGGCAACTCTATCGGTAAGGCCGAGCGTTGGGAGCCTGAGGAGAAGAAGCGAGATATCAACCCCATGTCTGGTCGCAAGGTCAATAAGGAGGGCGAAGTCCGCGATGAGGACGGCAACCTTATTGGCAAGCTGACTGCGGGTAACCTCGCCACGCTGATCGGCAAGAGTATTGATGACAACGGCTATGTCATTGACAACGATGGCAATAAGATCGGCGAATGCACCTTGCTTGAGAACATCCCCGAGCCCGAGGAGGAGGTCGAGGAGGGGCCCACGGCCGAAGAACAGGAGGCTGCGGCGAAGGCTGAGTCCGACCGACAGCTCGCCGAGAAGATGATCTCTATCCTTAGCCAGACTCTTGACCGAGTCAAGCCTGTGTGTAAGCAGATCACTGAGGTAAGTTCCAACCCGACATTGAAGACCTCAAAAGCAATATACTAACATAACTTGCAGGCCTGCGATAAAGCCGACCATACCAAGAAGGAGGACCTTGACGAGGAGAAGCTTGTTCAAACCGTCAAGCCGCTCCTCGAAGAAGGCGGCCGCATTCTGCAAGAGTGCAACGGAGCCATCCGCGCTCTTGACCCCGATGGACGCATCGCCGCGACCGCTAAGGCGCGCGCTGCTTCTCGCGATGCCACTCCTGAGGAGTATCAGCTTGCCGACCTGATCAAGGAGCTCACTGAGACGGTTGTCAAGACCATTGACAACGGCAAGAAACGTATTGCTGATATGCCTCACGCCAAGAAAGCGCTGAACCCCCTCTGGGGTCTGCTCTCTGAGCCGTTGTTCCAGATCATCGCTGCCGTTGGCTTGTTGCTTACTGGTGTGCTTGGCTTGGTTGGTCGTCTGCTTGATGGTCTTGGTCTCGGTGGATTGTTGAATGGACTGCTTGGCAGTCTTGGATTGGATAAAATAATCAATGGACTTGGTCTGGGAGGTCTGACTGACGCTCTTGGACTTGGAGGAAACAAATGAAAATTTGGGAGCAGAATCCCATTTGAACTTTTTGTTGGCGGTGTTTTTGTAATTTTTTCTGTTTTGCTCTTTTCGCCAGCGTTGATTGTTCTTCTTTGGGCGTACCTTTTCTAATTTCCTGTATTATTTCTCTCGATTAATGAACTTGAACTGGGTTTCATTTAAATCATTTTGATCTATTCACAAATATTAATAATCTTGTAAGTACAAAAGTGCAGAATAGCAGGGTACAATTTCCATGCCGGATTTCATCAAAATCCACCCCTCTGGGATTTGTTATATCTCTCATCAGATCAAGATGTTAACACACGTAGAAGGAATGGACATGTTCATAATTACAATGAGGTTGAACAATTAAACAATGCGCCGGCCAGGGCGCTTTTGGCCACTCTAACAGGGAACTAGTGTCGATCGTCAATTCGTCCATAGAAGATAGTGTGGCGCATACTAAGTTAATGTGTCTTGGATGTGTCAGTCGAAGCGCGAGACTGATCGATGTGGGACGATTCACCGAGGTTGCGATAGGCTCTGTCTCTTGCAGCGGCCTTATCCTTTCGAATAGTAAGGCAGTTGATGCCGAGGAAAGTGGTGATGCGGTTGATGACGAGGACCGCCCAATGCATGTAGATAACCAGGGCGAAGACCAGGTACACCCAGAGATATAAGAGTTCCAGCCAGGGGGCAATGACCGGGAACCCGATCATGGGCAGGTTGATGAGGATCGCCCCAGCAATGAGGGGAGCCTGCATCACTGTCCAAAGGGGGAAGGGCTGTCTCAGAAGATGTGCCAAAATGATCATGGTGGTCATTCGTCCGAAGACGAATGCGATAATCCAGCAGAACAAAATGAGGTGGTTCCCAGAAAGAACAGTCGAATAAGGCGAGAACAGCCATGCGATGTTGCAGAAAGTGAAGGCGAGGATAGGCACCAACTCCTTAAGCAACGGGGCGAACGGCAGACCCTGCTTCTTGCGCGCCGCAGCTACATTCATAATACACCCGGGGAGATGTGCGAGGAAGAAACTAGCCATGAGAAATGGGACCCAGAGGTCCTTGACGGAGTTGTTGCCGAAGATTTGGGGGAAATCAAGGAATCCAATGATGGGTTTAGACCACATCGCAGGGCCCCATATTCCGGAGGAAATGATAATTCCACAGATGATAAGGAGGCCCTCAGTCGGGCCATTGAAGTAGCCGAGGTAGAGCGTGTGGGTGTGGAACGTCTCCCATGTCGAGAAATACATGGCCAGACAAGGCACGAGTGCGGTCCAAGCACCAAGCTGCGACGATCCATAGCCCATTGCGGCTGTCGAAAGCAGACTGGCCAGGGTGCAGTTCAAAGAGTCGATACCGTGACTGTACCTTGTTAGTGATCCATCCATGGCTTTTCGGAGGGCGGTACAAACTCAAAAAGTTCTCCCAGTCCGCTAGACGTGCCGGTTCGGCGTGCCTGTTTACCATCCACATTGTCGAGGGTCGAATACCTATTTCGTATGAGTTAGCATCATGTGGATGGAGGGGTAGCCGGTCACTCACATCCACAAGCCAAGCGCAAAGCTGAAGTAAATCCAAGAGGGACCCTGAAATTTCCGATTAACTCGCCACTTCCGATAAAACACCCAGTAAGGAACAGGAACACTCACAGGTCCCACCATATCTGGGACGAAAATCTGAATGATGAAGATATTGGCCACGATCCACATGAACCCAAGAAGGGTCACCATGTTCGGGGCCATCCACATCGGCACAAGTTCGACGAAGGCATTCCACTAGGGGAAGAGTCAATTGTTTATTCCGAGTTAACGATCGGGCAAGGTAAGGCTGTCATACGTAGTGCTTCAAGATATACCGAGAAATGAACGACTTATCGACACTCGAATACTTGTAGGACTTAAGGGGTAGTAGGGCTTCGTCGGAGAGGGAATCTTGGGTCTCTGTATGAGTTGAAGGTTCGAATTAGCAAGTGAGTAGGAACAAATATGCCAGTCAATGGCTTCATATCACCAACCTTGGACCATGCGATATATCGCGCTCATTTTTGAAGATTGGGCCGTGTCACCGCGCAGAGTTGTAGTATAGTCGGGGGAAACACCAGCACCTCAGTTCATAGCGCGGTCGGCAAACAAGTGGGTATAATGGAGAAATGCACAGCGAATCAAATCATGCCTTTAAACACAAATCTCGGCGCTCAAGGATACGTGGAGAAAAGGAGAGGTAGGAAGCGTTTCAAGATGGATTTTCAGGTTGAAATCACGTGCCTTGCTCCGCATCGGGAACGCGAACAAGGGAAGCTCAACTTGGCTGAGACCACACGGGATTTGCTAGTGCATTGTTCGGACTTGAGTCGCATTGTTGCAGCTAATCTGCCCTCGATCTTCCTAATTGCGGCTCACTTAAATCTTTCTTCAACCTACGATCCACCCCAGCGCCGTGCGATACACCGTGCACCATAATCGCGTAATCGCCCATCTCGCATTTCATCGTCATCTGGAGCTCGATCTGCGCCACGCGAAGTGCTCCTCGAATTTTTTTTCCGCCCTCAATACTACAATCACATATTGAGTCTGGTTGGATATGACGGTGGATGGTCTTCGAAGCGCTCCCCGCGCATCTCGTCACTGAGGAATCTTCAAGATACTGGAGGACAGGCTCTGGGACATTATTTCCGCAGGCCTCGACGAGAATATCATGCCGAGTGTTGTCGAACTGCCCGCTGGTGCCGCGGCACGCCAGTTTGATCTGGGATTCAGTGTGGGACATCAAAAAGTCGAACTTGAGATTGATCTAGCATCCAAAAGCCTCAAGGGAAGGACGGAAATCACAATTCACCCTCGCCGCAGAGATCTCGGGACAATCTGGTTGAATTTTCGACAAGGCGAGATTAAGCAGCTGAGCGTTAACGGCAAGCCTGCAACAACAAAATACACAGATCACTACGAGTCGCTACAACTCTACGGTGTACACTATCACGAGCGACTGACACCGAAGATTCACAGCCTGTTACAAACTCCCCCAAGACCTACCCTGCCCATCGCAATTCCAAAGGGTGTCCGCATCGATGAACTAGACCCATCTTCGGCCGAAGCACAGGATCAAATCGCGCTACAATCTACTGTGGACAATGTGGATGGTCCTTCGAGTACCAGGGCGCCAGAGGCAAACCTTCCACGATTCACGGCTTTGACAGTGAACATCGAATTTGTTATTGACAATATTCGGGATGGATTACAATTCGTCGGTGTCGAAAATGGTGATCGACGGTATCCTCATGCTTACACCACTAACTCACTCGAGTCTGGTATCGGCTGTCCCCTGTTCCCATGTGTGGATGATATGTCCTCGCGATGTACCTGGGAGGTTTCTATCACATGTCCCAGCTCGCTTGGTTATGTTTTTGACCGGAAGACCCAAGATGCGGCCGGTGCAGCGACCCCATCCCGCCCAAAAGCGCCAACCCGCCAACTTTCTCCGGACGACGAGGGCCTTGATATGTCAGTGGTGTGCTCCGGCGACCTGACAGATGACATTGTCGATCCCAAAGACCACACCCGCAAAACAGTTTCATTTGCGTCATATTCACCATTGGGAGCCTTGCAAATTGGCTTCGCCATTGGTCCATTCGAGTATGTCAACCTGGCCGACTTTCGTGAAAGTGACCAGGATGAGCAACTTGGCCAAAATGCTATTCCTTTGCACGCATTCTGCCTCCCGGGTAGAGCCGATGAAGTCCAAAACAGCAGTTTTCCCATGGCCCAGGCGATTGACTTCTTTTCTTTGTCGTACGGGTCTTATCCATTCGGCAGTTACAAGATTTGTTTCGTCGACGATTTACCAACCGATAGCCTTCCCACTGCATGTATGTCAATATGCAGCAGCCACCTGCTCTTCCCAGCCGAGATGATCGACCCCATGTATGACTCTACTCGGGCTCAGGTGCACGGTCTGGCCTGTCAGTGGACTGGAATCAACATCATTCCTGCGGAACCCTCGGATACGTGGGTTACGGTGGGTGTGGCATGGTACATTACAGACACGTTCATGAGAAAGCTTTGCGGAAACAACGAATACCGTTTCAGATTGAAGCAGATGTCTGATCAAGTCTGCGACCTAGACTTCGAGCGCCCCTCTATATACGACATGGGTAACATTCTCAAGGTTGACCCCTCCGAATATCGCTTTGTTGCATTGAAAGCGCCTTTGGTCTTGTTCATTCTCGATCGCCGACTGACCAAGGCGAGTGGTAAGGCCACGATGTCTCGCATTATTTCTCGACTTTTCCTCAACTCTCGCATGGGTGATATACCCAATGGAGCCGTCACATCCTCCCTGTTCCAAAAAACCTGTGAGCGACTGGGACATGCGAAATTAGACGTATTCTTCCAACAATGGGTATACGGGGCGGGATGTCCACGATTCCAAGCAACCCAGCGATTCAACAAGAAGAAGCTCGTAGTTGAAATGATGATCAGACAAGTCCAATCAGAACCCCAACCCCCTCGAGATCTCGACAAGGATTCATTCTTGCGCGACGTGAAGGAAGAGGTCCGGCACGTCTACGCGGGCGCAGTGCAGCCGGTCTTCACAGGGTCAATGACCCTTCGGATTCACGAAGCAGATGGAACTCCTTATGAGCACATCGTTGAGATCAAGGAGGGCGTGACGAAATTCGACATTCCATACAACACGAAGTACAAAAGGCTCAAACGCAACAAAAAACAAAGAGAAAGAGCCGTGGCCTCGGGCGATACGGAAGTTCAAGAAGAGGTTCTGCTGTACTGCCTGGGGGATGTGCTTCAAACCGAAGAAGAGACACAGGCTTGGCGTTTGGCTGATTGGACGAAAGAGGACGAGGAGCGAATGGGACAGGAATCCTATGAGTGGATACGAATGGATGCAGACTTCGAGTGGATCTGTAAACTGTCTCTCGGTATGCCAGGGTACATGTATCTCTCGCAGCTTCAGCAAGATCGAGATGTTGTGGCCCAACTCGAGGTAATTTATACTGCTGTCTTGAAAAGTTGAGTCACTATGCTAACATTATCAGTCATTACAATACATGACTGCTCAACGAGAGCACCCTCTGATTTCTACGATCTTTGTTCGAACGCTCATGGATAGTCGATACTTCCATGGCATACGTACTACGGCTGCGCGTGCCTTGGTAAAACATGCCAAGGAAGAGATTGATTGGGTTGGACTGTATCATCTTGAGAAGGCGTTCCAGGAGCTTTTCTGTCTCCCGGGATCGCCCATGACTCGATCGAATGACTTCTCTGACCGAGCGGCCTACATCCTTCAGCAAGTCATCCCTGACGCAATCTCTAAAGTCCGGGACAATAGTGGCAAAACTCCATTAAGGGTGAAGCGATTCCTTTTCGATAAACTCAAGTTCAATGACAACTCGAACAATGAGTACTCGGATAACTTCTATGTTGCCTCCTTGATGAAGTCCCTCTGTCATGCGATGCTTGGTAAGAGCGAGGTGCGGACGGACGAGGAATTAGACCATTTCGATATGGAACGTGTCCTCGAGGCTCAGGCCGAGGAACAACTGGACAAGGATGCTATCGCCGAGTTTGACCGATATCGACGCATGGACGAATGGTCTAGCTCTTTCCAGAACCTCTACTCCCGCGCTGCTCTTCAATGCCAGGCGCAATTAATGCAAACCAAGATGATGGACCTGGATTTGATGCGTTTCATTCCATACACGCGAGCGGGAACCTACGACCTTCTCCGGATGCAAGCCTTCCAATGCTTGATCGACCTGGATATTTCCCACAGCCCGGAGCTTCTTCGTTGGCTTATGTTCACATTATCGGCCGATTCCTCGCCCTGGATACGCCACCAATCTTTACGTTTGCTAGGTCAGGCCCTAGCACAGATTGCTTTCGGTCGTCCTCAACAAACCGAAGCCTCCCAAAACGGTGGTTTGATCATCGAACAAGAATCATCTACCCAAATCCGCCGAGATGACATCGCACGACGCCAGACTATTCCTGGCGCCATCGAAGCCCTCAAACGAGAGCTTTCTGGCGATACATCTATGAAGGAATGTATGTGGGCAGCATGTAACTCACCGTCCATGGGTCTCTTGGAACTTTCCGAGCTCACCGACCTTTGCCGTACACTGTACGACCCAATCACTTCCAAGCTCGTGCGGATGAAACTTCCTCGATATTGGAGTGTGCAAAACCAAGGCCATGGCAAGTTACGTTTCTATCGATCTACCAAACCCCGCATGGGTCTGGCTTCGAAACGCAAGCGCGAGGACCAGGGCATGCACGCACCATCATCAACCCGCATTACGTTCAAGCAGTCCAAAACTGGCCTGGCTCCAGGAACTCCTACTCCCAACCATTTCCCCAAAATTCACATCCCAAGACCATCACCTGCGCAAAGCGCAACCCCCAAAGCCCCTACCACGTCTACACCCAAGCTGAAGCTCAAGTTTGGTGGTCGACCCACATGAATATCCAACGTTGTTCCTTCGAATATCACATGTATTTTATCATTATCTCTTTATTATCTCTACCCTCTCTCATCGACCCAGGCAGGAGGATGGAGCCAAAGCATGCTCCCAGGCGTAATATTGATTCAGCTTTATCTTCCGATTCCAATACCAACTAGTTGTGCCTTGTGTTCATCCCCCCTGGTAAATTTCTAGTGTAGACGTACCAGTCAGAAAGTCATTGGGATAGCCATAGTCGTCTAAAATGCGCCGTAGCAAACGAGCAGAAAAAAAATAGAACAGAAAAAAGGTTTTGATTGTTCCCATAAGAGAAACCGACCCAGAAACTCCCAGTAGCATTAGCTCTTTTCCCAGCACTCGGTGATCGAGTGGTGCCTATGTGCGTGCCCCTTCAATCAAAGAAACGTCGTAGATTGTGCGTGTAGATGCGTAGCTTATTTATCGGATATGCGCTCGAGAGCCTCGAGCATCACGACGGAGTTGCCGCGAATGACCTGATAATGCGTATCCATTAGCGGGGATCTTAGCTAGTCCATAGGGATTGAACATACAACCATGCCAATGGCAACCTTCTCTGCGCCATCCTTCTCCTCGAATGCCTCATCTAAGACAATGTTCATGAAGACCTGCGCGAAAGCATGGTTAGTTATTCCGCGTGCGATCGGACCGTCATCCTCCTATCTTCAACAACGAGCCGCGGGAACCCCGACATAGCGAAGTCTGGATCATTGGGTGTACACATACATCGTAGCCACGAAGGATACCAATGACTTTGCGGTTGCCATTCAGTTGGCAGAAGACCCGCTTCTCCATGTACTGCACGAAAGACACGACGTCAGCTGAGATCTTAGGACAATAAAGACCCATATATTAGCAGTGGCACTAACCTTCTTCAATTCAGGCTGAGCTTGAGGCATGTTGGGCGAGTTGCTTGGGTATCTTGGGGTTTGTCAAGATTCAAGATACCGCGATGACTTTGGGAGTTTGGTGCAAGCTGTGCCGGAGGAACGATATTCCGGATATGAGATATGCGATAAGAGCTGGCAGCTTCATGTTCACACCTCTCACGCCACCAACTTGCATCGCTTCGTTACCTCTTTTGATTGCTAGGTTATTCCAAATATGAGCAGCAAATTTGCCAATCGCAGAAAGCCCCGCAAGGTTGGCAGGGATGACGAGGAGGACGAGGGAGGCGTTGCGCCAGGTATGTGGACTAAGATTACTTTTTTCTACCCTAGATATTCGCCTACCACGATCGAAGCTGACATGGAGATTTCTAGAGCCGGTCGTTAAGCGGCCAGCTTCCTCTAGGCTGAAGCTGAGATCCAAGTTGCAGTTATCCTTCGGCCCCGAGACGTCAAACGATGGAGACCAAGACAGCGAAGTAGTCCCACCAAAACGCCACGGTCTTGGACGCAAGGCAATAGAACAAAGTGCCGGTCAACTTCCTTCCCTGTTATCTGAGAAAATCACTGCACGAGTCGGTCAGGACCAAGACCGGCCTACCTATAGCCATGACTACTTGAAGGAACTTCGCGATTCCACGCCCTCAACGCCGAAGACAACTACCGACGATGAAACCAGCAAGGTTGTCGATGTTGCAGCTAAGTTTGGGGAGATTATGACTCTCCCGGCACAAGCACATATCCCAAGCGAAGCCGAGATCCGAGAGAAAAAAGCCCGGCGCGCACGCCTAGCTATGGAACACGGTGCGGAGGACGAGTTCATTTCATTGGACGTGAACAATGCGGCCCACACTGACGACTGGGACGCGGTTGTAAGAGGAGATAAAGAAGTCGAACAAGATACAAGACTAGTTCGGGACGACGAGGACTTTGCGGAAGGGTTCGAGGCCTTCACGGAGGATGGCAAAATGGCGCTCGGCCGAAAGGCAGAGCGCGAGAAGAAGCGGAAGGATCGTGAAGCAATGCGTGACCTTATTGAGGATGCTGAGGGTATCTCCGACGAAGACGATTCTGACTTGGAGGAAAAGGCTGCCTATGAAGCCGCTCAGGTTCATTCGGCCATGGGTCGTGGCAAGTCAAGCGGTATTGATCGTCCGAGGACTCCTCCCAAAGTGACATCTCTTCCACGACTGGCTAGCAGTTTTGAAAGGTTGCGCATGTCTCTGACATCTATGGAAGTCGCAAAAACACAGATGATCAGCCGGATGGAGGAACTGAGGAAGGAGAAGGCAGATATCGCAGTTCGTGAGGTGGAGATCCAGGCGATGATCAAAGAAGCTGGCGATAACTATGAGCGACTCAGAAAGGAAGCTGGTGTTGATCCTAATACAAAGCTCGATGGTTCCAATGGAGCTCTGGAAAAATCTCGAGGTTTGGAGAGTATCGGCGCTCCTGTCCCTGTCCCGGTAAGGGACTCCTCAATGTCGGATTCCTCCGATTCTAGCTTCGAGGATTCTTCATAATGCTTTCTTGGTTGCATTCGTACCTACACCCCAGACGGCCTGGAGGCTCAACTTCACCTCGGTCTTTACTAGATCCCCTTGCATCGTCTTCGTGGGGTCTTTCTTGTTTCTTTCGATACCCAATGAACGAGTTCTGTATTGTATTTCTAACTTCATTCCCATACCCTTAGCCCCGTCACCTGATTTTGCATTAGACCAACCTTTCACTCTCAAAAAGCTAGTCAACCTACATTGTCGCAATACGGCCCACCTCCATCTGACAACTGGTGCGGCGCTTTACTGGCTACCACGAACAAGTGTCTCGCGCGGCTGCAAATCAACTTGGTCGTAAAGGGTGGCCTGACAGTATCGCTTCATCCTCGGAAAGCCGACTACAGTTAACCAACAAACAACATCATTAGACCATGACATTGCTAGGGATGTGGTGCCAGACTTTTCCCGGTTTCAGGCTGCCGTACAGGACCATGTACACCACACTCCAACGGATAAGCCCAGCCTGACAATCAACGGCTGAGATTCAGGTGTTATACTGTGCAGCTATTCTACCTTGTCGAAACGTTGGCGGCCATCAGGGTCCCAGGGACGCCAAGCCTATCGAGAATGCTGCAACCTTAACGGGTTTCACACCCCACTATACATGATCCCGATATCTCAGCCAGCCCTGGCAGCTAAGCAACTCTAGAAATCCAGCTTCTAGTCTGGTTTCGGATTGTCTGGCCAAGATTCAGCTCGTTGGGCACTCATGCGACGTCACCGTTATGTGTCTTGCCGCTCTGCGTATGACTAAATCTTTTTAAAATACGATGACTTTCCTACATTGCTCCTGGTGGACTACTTGCACTTGACTTCCAACTTGTAATACCAGTCCCCTCATTATGAATGAACATCGCACCACCTCCAACCATGAACACAAGTAGTCTGGCGCGTTCATTCTGAAGTTGAGATGCGGACGGCTTAAGGGGGTTCTTGCATTCCCTAGGAATCGGATCACACAGCACCAACTCCGCGTGGGCCTTATGCTGCTCATCATTGAAGAAATAGTTCATTTGGGCACTTGAATTGTCAACAAGACGGTGCGGCCGGCCGGTTGTACTATCTGTTCGTTTGTATATGTTTTCTCCTATTATTTCCTTGACCAATTCTCACATTATATGTCTCTTACATATCTCTCGCAGCCATGCCAACCTCCCTTTTCTATTGTTTACCTGCATCTACCATGTCATACCGTAAATATGGGATACGCCATTAGTTAAGCCGTAGTCTTATTGCATGCACTATATTCTATGTAGTCTTTCATCTGGAAGTTTCTAGTGCCCCGCGTCCAACTAACTTCCCTGGAAGTCGTTTTCTCTCCTTACTTAAAAATCCAAAATAGGCAATTGAGCAGCATGGACATTTTCAACCTCCGCCTCCTCCAATGGAGGTACAATGTCTGGATAGTTTTGATTTTTCCGACCATATCTCAAACTTCCAATCATTTGCCGTTGATGTTTTGCATTAATAGCGGAGGTCATGATGCTGAGTATTTTGATATCAATGAAGACTCTTCTATTTTAACACCCCAGTATCCGCAGAAACACCCATTATCTTCTTAGCGAAGTCTATTTACGCGTTCAGACCCCCTCTTCTGATATATAGTATAGATCAAGACCCAATGTACGGCCAATCTCGGGCATAGTATCTGAATTCTATATTCCCACCTTCTATGGGAAGATTTCGGCTAAGGTTCTAGAGCTACAGGAATTGTGCTCCTATGTGTACGGTGATCGCCATCCTATACGGGGTCCGAAAACTTAGCACATCCGGCATCGGAGCCGAATTGGTCAAGGACTACGAGCAATGCTTCAGGGAAAAATAGGAATTATGCAGTTCGATGAAAGCCTAGATGATACCATGAGTCTAGAAATTCCCGTAAGTTCACGGATTACGAAGTACGTCGCCACGAACTGGCTTGAATTGGCATGTACCCCATGTGAATTTCACGATATCAATATGACTTGGTCAAACTATTGACGCGAGTATTTAGACCGCGTCGGTGCCCCGACCATGCATGGATTGGCTAGGTTTCATACTTATTTTCTTAAGATATTAGAAGATTATACACGCTGTTCTATGTGGCGTGCGGCCTCGTTCCCTCTACCTTTCCAAAAAGAGGAAAAGGAAATGTACTCAGAGACTGCTCCAAGTCAGGATGCTATTGCCATTAGAATTGCTTAACTCTCGGTTTTAGGAACATGTAATAACATAATAACATGTCCGACAGTAAACCCTAAATTGAAACAGAACTATGAACAATAAGCAGCCCAACATGTACCGCTTCTATTTCGTTGATATATAAAACGTAGGATGGGCTACTTAGCTTCGTTTCTAATTATAAATTTCAAAATACAGGGGTGTTGGTTACTACTCCGACTGCTGGAGACAGCCGAAGAGTGTAAGCGCTGTTATCATTCTTCGAAATCATTGTGATATTTGCGATCTTATATATCCTAGGGTTGCGCCTTCTTCAAAAACCAGGGTAAGGGGTGACTTCATGAATCTCACGTCTCTCTTATTCTATTCTTAAAGAGGTCGCAGATTCTCGCAAGTGTTTAGAAGTTAGAACTATACGCTATTTTAAGGATGCTACAGGACTGAACTAGCAACATCAGGGCTTATTTCCGTGAATGCATTTCATCTTGACTTCTCAGCTGCTTCCTAGTTCTAGCTAAAAAAGAACCGAGAGATCATTTTGCTTAGCATACACCAGCTTCCGAACATATATCGGTTGTGTCTATGTGTGCATAGATATTCTTCATTTCTATCAACTGTTGATATCCTTCATTCGGTCTAACTGATCTATCAACAATTGAAACAAGATAATTTCCCATCGACCTACACCGTCGCACTTTCATGACCTCCCCGAAGATACTGTACACTTCGACTAGGGCTGCGAACCGGCTCATTTCACTCAATCTACTCCTTATTGACCGACTCTTTGACTGGTTAATGTCCCGGAACGACGCAGCTGGCCGACGGAAGCGGGAACACGACGGGGAGTTCAAACGTCTGGCCTCTGCGCCGGGGATGGCCGTCACTAATTCCTTCTTTATGGCATTTCCTACCGGCAAATCTTATATCATAAGCTCTACAGGGGTGCTTAGTCAAGTAGATAACATGTTCTACTATTGCGATTGCCTCGATGTCTTTGTGTGGCATTTTCCCCTGCGTTGCATTCTACCGGGCTGGGCTTATATTGCGTGCTCCTTATGAAAGTCTATACTAAACAACTATTTTCCCTATTGAGAGCAGGAAACTAGGGGAACTGATAAGCTTGTCCCCCGCTCAAGTCCGGATCCATGAGAAGCATCTCCCCGGCACCCCATGGAAGATGAAGAAGTACTACCAGCTCTAGGAGCTATAATTCGAAATCTCCTACTTCCCGAAACCTTTGGTGGGAGGTAAAATATAATGAAACAAAACCTAACATTGTGTCACAATATCTTTTTCAGTGGGAGTTGTTAGCGCATTAACCGCCACAGTGCATAGCTACATGCCAGCAAGCCACCTGAAATGCAGTCGGCTGGATGTTGCTCCAAACTCGGAATTGAGTCTTATGTCTCAATCAGAAATTCCAATTCCTGGTCTACGACAAGCAAGGCTTTCCCTGTTAGGAAGAAGCCGAGTCTTGAACAAGAATCTCCCAGCCTCTACGTCACATTTCCAAATTATCGTAAGTTGTAGGCTTTGTTTCTGTTTTTAGCAAAGCAGCTAATGCACCTCAACCTGTTGATCTACTTGGCATTTTTAATGCCAAAAATCAGAGATAAACTACACTAAGGCACGCTAAAGTACCTACCCACCACCCCGGTATCTGGGATCCCTGAAGCCCTAATTCAACCAATCAATACCCAAAAGACAACGAACGGGCAACCAACAGGCTGCCGAGAGATCCCTTTTAAATTAGATAGCACCAACCTCTTTTTGCTTTTTTGATAGGTTCTTTCCGGCTTGTTTTGGTTCTCCGCTGATCATCCCTCCACTGTTCGTGTCAACACAACTCACCGTCCTGTCTTTTCCATCCCCTTCCCCAGATTTGTTCCGGATATTACGGATCTTGATGCTGTCTCATAGGATAAATCATCGGGTAATGGTATTTATGGAATAATAATAAGATCCATAAATATGATCCGCATATGCGGGAAATGAAGCCTAGCGCTCGATCGAGCACCTGCAACCTGGAAACTAGATAAATCCCAAACCTACCTCCGCGGTAACTCTGCGAAGCTGTAACACTAACAGAAACATTGCCTCAAAGAAAGAAATTCCCTCGGGGCTTTCCCACAGAATCAGGAGCTGAGGTCTTCCCCTAGCTAGGGGACCGGACGGAATCTTTACGCGTTCGTGCTGCTGCAGGCTCGTTTTTGATCCCTTCGGTTTCAACGCCACCTAGGCCACCCCAGCGGTCGTTAAAGAAGCTTCTTTTGAATAGGTCCGTCTATAGACAGTGGAGATCCGGGGAAAAGGGGCTCGGGAGTTCTTTTGTTAAGTTCACCGTGTTAGTTGTATTCTCTCGGCAATCGTGGAAGCTAATGACATATTTTGCTTTGAAAGTTCAATGCACCTAATTATAGCTTTACTATATTCCAAATCCCAACAGAAAATATTCTGGCTAGGATCTTGTCGATCTTTAACACTGCATTTCGTAAGGCCCGATGAACTCATGTTGGCATTAGTATTGGGCGATAGAGCCTCAAAGACTAGATAGCTCACGTCAGTCGGCAAGTTCCTGTCCAACCAGCTCCAACCAGGAAATTGCTTCTACCGCTATGGTGTTTACATTGCTTTTTCTCAAGCAGGTTGGACTGGGCCCCTTGATCTGATTGGCCCGGATGCCACTTAGGCTTCCCCAGAAGCTCTCTGTGGCTACCCGGTCAGGATGGAACATTCCAAAACTGGCCGAGCCACCGCCAAATCATGGAGCTTTAGACGGTTTGTCAATCAGGTAGACCCACAGACGGGCATAGCAGCTCTATTTAGGGTTGTACATGGTGGAGATCAGCAATGCTAGGACCGTTGCCAACGGGCTGCAGTTCCGGGGCCAATTCACCCAACCCTCAGGATGGGATAAAATGTAGATATCGAGGGCAAAGAAAAACAAATATTGACGGGAATATATTAACTTGGGCCTAACGGCCGGGAGTGAAGATCTTCTTCAGGAAGCCGTCGAGAATACAACCCGTTCACTCTTCGCTCCCGTTTCACATATTTCCTAGACATTCATTCCCCTCCGACAGTATCGAGGCTAAATCAAGACATGACGCTAGACAATAGAGGAAAGATCTGAAACGTTCGGCAAGTGGATCACGGTTACGACGGGGGTCCAGCTGATTTACATACCTGAGATTTTTGACCTGGCTAGGGTTCAGAAGTCTTGAGACCAACCCATGTCTATATTTCTCTTTGTTTCTCTCCGTCTCCTACATGCCTAGAACATACCGACAGTCCTCTTGCTCATCTAGTAATTGCACGGGCCTCAGCTGAGATTAAACGGGCCGAGAAGTCGAAATGAGCTGGCGGATGATAGACATGGTTCATGTACACTGGTTAGATCCATTCATTCTGTCTATTAAAAGACCCGGAAAATATCGCTCCCTAGCCTTGCTGTATCTCCTCGTAAATTGATATATAAACCTTATCAATTCCATCCCTCATCCTCGACTTCCAACTTTTATACTGTCTCTCAAACAATCTCTCCGTGTTGGCAATCTACCTGAGATATAACCCTACAGCAATCTGGAGCTTCACCTCCTTTCTCCTAAGGTCATTGCCGATATACCTGAGACTGCATTGCATCCAACGGCTCGACCTACACCCTGATCCTTACCCATATTGATCTCTCAAGCCGAACAGCCGTCCCCTTTCGAAGTATAGCTACTCTTGAGAGCCACTAGAGGCTTTTGTCTGCTCATCAAGGTCACAAGAAGAAATTTTGCCCTACTTTTCACTCGTGACATCGCCTTCTAGCAGTCTACGGTGGCTATTATATCCATACGGTAAGTGATGCCCAATCAGTTCTTACCGTTCTGGTGAAACCTCTCCATATATAAAAAAGCACTAACCTCCATAACGGTCAAACCTGCAGGTCTCCTCGATTTCTCCACACTATCCGGTGTGTACTGACAAAGAGGAAATCTTCGGGATAGCGGTCGTCCACACCCAGTGACAACCCGTGTACAACATTCGCCAGCAATTGCGGTGAAGCGTGGAAGACAATAACCGTCTAAAACTGGGCAATACTCTTCTGAATCCTTTTAATCTTTTTATTTTCAATTTTCTCCATCTATGGTCGACATGGCAGACGTGCTGGCTATTCCTGGGGTGCTAGACCCATGGATGGCATACCCGAAGGAGTATACTTACTCTTCGGCATTTGGCGATTATGATAAACAGCTTTCCTCCTCCCCTACCGACTGGTATTCGATCTTTTGCCCCTCCACATCAACTTCCTCTCTGAACTTTCAATTGCTACATCACCCTCCAACAATCCAAACACAACGTCGTCCGCGAAAGCTTGCTAAAACCATGATGAATCGCAATAGTTTGCCAGGAAACTCGATACCTCTTGCGGAGGACAAGCGCTACATGCCTCTCCATGTGGAAGATCCTCACATGGCTGTGTATTCGCAGGGCGCGTCTCCTTTCACGACTCGGCTAGACCTCAACAGTGCGAATTCAAGCAACGGAAGCACTTACTGTGAATCTGATCTTGAATCACTTGAGCACTTTGACGAGCCATTCACCACACGCAATGTTGAAACACACACTGGGCTTGCTCACCCAGCACCACAGGGCAAAATGTTCACAATGGCTAGCAATTCCTTCCTTTTGGGCACTGGGGAAACACCTCCTCTTTCCTCCTTTGAAATCCCAGATGTCAAAATGGACGAGCAGGCTTTTTCCACCACCCAATTCAACTGCCAGAACCCGACTCTCGCCAACTACCCCACGGGAAGACAGGTCGATCCCCACTCATCCATCACTCCTCAGGACACAAAGCCGCTGAACTATGGTGGAAGTATCCAATGGCTTATCTCTCAACCACCCAGCACAACTGAGGCTTGGTATCCCACGCCTGACCTCACTAGCCCACCAGAAGACAGCTGGCATACACAGGATGGTTACAATTTACCTTGGCCGGCCACCAATACATACAACTACCCAGCCGAATACAATGAACCCGAGCCAAGGAATGGACTGCCCATGGAGGCTTTTGGGCCTGCGCCTCTGTCTTTGGGCCCGAATAGTCCCATAGGCTACATTTCCCATTTGCAAGATTCTGGACCCTACCAAATCACCAATGGTCCCGAGTATCAACCTGGACTGCATCGAGACGCTCCAACACAGCCACCTGTCTCCGACACAGAATACGAATCCCCGGACCAGAACCCAGCAAGCAGCTTCAGTCCATCCTTCTCCGTCTCAACCACCGAAGGACGGTCCCGCCAGCAGAGCGAAGAAGAACAAGGCGGGACCGAAGCTACGGTGCAGGACATTTATGAGAGAAATGCATTTCTCATAGACTGCAAGAGCCGAGGGCTATCATACAAGGAAATCAAGCGATTGGGCGGGTTCAAGGAGGCGGAGTCTACGCTACGAGGCCGATACCGCACTCTCACCAAGTCGAAAGACCAGCGAGTGCGAAAGCCCGCATGGCATGATCGAGATGTGAGTTGTGAACTGTTCTTCCATTATTCTATGATAATATAGACTGACATGATCTATTATTATAGATGCGACTCCTTTGCCAAGCTGTCGCAATTCACGCAGAGCGCCATGACACTTACAACTCGCTGCCCAATTCCGGGTTGACCGTGAACGAGCCACCAAAGGTATCATGGAAGAAGGTTTCTGATCACATATGGGCGAATGGGGGATCCTACCATTTTGGCAATGCCACATGCAAGAAGAAGTGGTGCGAGATTCACGACATCACCATCTGACCCGAGGTTGGCTTAAGGTTAAACGCGGGTTCTTTTGTTCTTATGTTCTTTAATCCATTTATCCTCAGTTTGTTTCTTTTCTTCGATATGTAATGTATCTTGGCGAGCGCGTGTGCACTGTTTGTTATATTTGTATTCAGCTGGTCTGAGTCTCTGTGCTGTAGCGTTCCTCTGTATTATTTTCCGCTTGGTTGCCTTTCTGTATATTGGAGTGAAATGTTTTATTAATGACGTCTAGCTGGTGTCAGCCTTACTGGATACCCAACATCCCCCTTACAGATCTCACATTCACCCTTGATTGATGTAGAATTGTTGATGATGACATGCCGTACTGCAATGGTTGAAAAAATTTGAACTTTCCTTGGTGGTTCAAGCTATACCGAGCAGTCTCACGAAGTTTTGGAATTGCTCCATCGCAAGCGCCTTGGTAAATCCATCAGCCAGATTCTGTTTGGTGTCGACTCTAAGGATATTTACGTGCCCTTGGGCAACTGCATCCTTGACCAAGAAGTATCTTAGCGCCAACCACCTTGTGGCTGATTTGCCACCCTTCTTTGTAAGTAGCAGCTGAGAGTTGATGTTATCCGTGAATATGACCGTGAGATCTGGCCTCAGCAGACCAAGTGAATCTGCAACTTTGCTTAGCCACATTGCATCTCGTGGGGGTTGGTCAAGCGCATACCAGTCTGCGGTCGACTTGGCTGTAATCGTTTGCATCTTCGTTGGCCAACTCACTGCTATATGTAATTAAGAGTACATTACAATGTACATATTTTCATTGGGATCTACTTGCACAGAATCCGCTCACTCAACCTCGGATTGAGGAGGGGGTGTGGCATGATTTTGGGCTGTAAACAAGTATCAAGCATCATGTACAGCCATCACCATAAGGTCAAAAGTGAGAAGCAATGCAAGATTGGACCTTGCCGCCTTTCTAGCGCTAATTGTTTTCCCTGTCGTCTCTGAATAAGGAAACCTTTCAAACTCTAGTGGCAAGACGTGCCAGAAGTGAAGCGAGTATCACGGAGCATTTGTCGGTTCGAGATAAAGCAGGAATGTCTCGAGGAGAATGTCTCTTGTGAGATTATCCTTCATATGGCGTCTTCAATCCTCAGTCCAAATTTGTCACGCTCTCCGTTCAGGTTGTTGTCCAGAATATCTGAGCATGACCACCAGTAAAATGAGAGTCAGATGGATTCGGAGGGATTCGGAGGGATCATAATTTCCGGCCGAGATGGAGGACTCGGTGTCGGTGTAGGAAGAGGAGGAGGTGGTGGTATGTGAGGTTGATTTCGCCATCTCAGTTAAATGGCACTGCATAGTTGAGGCTGGATGGGTCAGAGGGTTTGGAGTATCAGAGCAGTGAAGTCAGTCAAAAGGGTCTTAATTGTCAGCCTTTGGCAGGATTCGTGGATGTAGGAAGTTAAAGAAATCCAAGGGATATGTTGTATGAATAAAGAGTGATTTTTATAAAATCGGAAGAGGAGGGAGTTGGTAAGGTCAAATAGAAAGAGTATAATTAAAAGGTGAGAGTGCCAAAGTAAAACATGAAAATGATGGAAAATGATAGGAAAAGAGTCAAAATGAGCAACTTGATGATACTCTGGGTGATAGACAAGTGAGACGAATGTTAAAGAGTATCAGATACCCTACATAATGACTTATATTTGCCTGATAAGAATAAGAGGTAATACACAATTTTAAGCATTAAATGCCAAATTACTATTTAATGCTCTTATTTATATCACTAGTCAAACTATCCTCATCCACGGCACTTGCAGTCGATGATCCTCTCATCACTGTAGTGCGCTGTAGCTTGTTTCGACCGACCCAGTCAAAACCCTGCCACCTGTCATGGAGGAAGGTGTCTGAGCACATCTGGGCGAATGGAGGATCATATTAGATGTTACTGTCATTAGGGATTAGGACATGATCGATCTCCTCACGCAGAAATCTGGAAGGTCTTCTTCCACAACGAGTATTCCCATAAGCAACTTTATGACTTTGTCGATGTCTCCAATCATAAAGTTCTCGATCCATGGACAGATGCCCCGATACCAACACAAGAATGGCAGAAGATCGAGATGTGCGACCGAACATCTCGAAACTTACGATAAGTTCATCAAAGCATTCAGGTCAAGTCTCTAGCCACTATTGAGAACGTTCGTCTACTCGATTTCACTTTCTCCTATCCTCCCTCTACCACCTCTTTACAAGCTATAAAGCACTGCAGTGATGAAGGGATTTTATCCTATTCTTATTCGCCTTACCTTGCTGTTCTAGGTCCTTTCTCCAATATACTCTCAAGGGATGGGGAAACAGATAACCAAACTGCAGACTCACCCAAGGCTTCTGTTACCCAGAGACGAGATGTATGTCTACAACTGCGTGGCACACAATGCTCAACGAGACAGTCTCTGCCTGGATTGAGCGATGAATCCTCTCGATCTTGCGAATAATTCGAGGTCAAGGATGACACTACCCGGTACGTCTTGCTGTTTTATCTCCCTTCAAGGTGCCTGCCTCATGTCGACAATGTCATTTCCTTCTTGCTCATGTCTTCTGTTCATCTTGCTTTACGTGGATTACCCTTTGCATCCTCATGTCCTTATGATAAGGACCAATCAGGAAGATTTAAAATCTTCCAAAAAAGCCCCTGTTGTCCAATTCTATTCCCTTTTCATGATTTGCTGTATTTATGAAACTGTTCCTCCATTCTTCTATGAAATATAGACTGACAGAATCCTTTTTATAGATCCAACTCCTTTGCCAAGCCGTCACAATTCACGCAGAAAGTCTCGACATGCTCGTTACAACCGAATTAAAGGGACACTGGAGAATGTGCTTCCACTAATGAAAGTAAAACTCCCCCAGCAGAGCGAAGAAGAATGGGCTCAGAATCAGGACCATCTTCCATATTCATCTCCATTGAAAAACAACCATCTTACCTCTCCTTGGCCTTTCATTAGACTTGAATAATTACCTCGGTGGTTGGTGTCGGATTTCATTAGCCGGGAGATCGATACCCGCTCAATAGCCGTGGCGTAGAATAGCAATAGCCGCAACAAACATCAACAAGACAATCGGAAAAGAGATATTTAACTAATTCCACATTGCCAGCTTAGAAAATGAGATTTTGATAAAAGTTTTACAATTTTCCATGTACTAGTTTCTTATTGACCTCACCAAATACCCCCAACCCTATTCCAACCTCCGATCCGATCTATACAACCCAAAATCCATCCAAAATGACCAAACCAATTGTCCTCCATCTCGGTGATGACATCCGCTGGAATCACGACCAATACAGCAAGTTCCAAGATGTCTTCGAGATCCGCCGGTCCTACAGCATGTCTCGGCCGGAGTTTATCCGAGCCCTGAAAGAGCGCCAATTCGGCGATTTCTTCGCCATCTACCGCCCATTCTGGAATACCGGCGGCGAGATGGGGAACTGGGATGAGGAGCTCATCTCACTGCTACCAGACTCTTGCAAGGTCTACGCCAGTGCAGGTGCTGGATTTGACTGGGTTGATACCGCAGCTTTGGCGAAGAAGGGTGTGTATACAACAAAGCGATCGGGAAGCTGCATATAGGAGAAATAGCTAACAGCTTCATTGTATAGGGGTGGTTTACTGCAATGCTGCAGCAGCATGCACAGAATCCGTCGCCGACGCCGCAATCTGGCTCATAATCTCCACATTCCGCCTGTTCTCTTGGTCACACATTGCCGCACGCGCACTGGATGTCGATGCATTTGTCGACGCAAACCGCAACCTGGCGATGGTCTCACACAACCCCAATGGACACACACTTGGAATCATTGGCTTCGGCCAGATCGGCCGGCGCACTGCCGAGAAGGCGTTCCTGGCCTTGAACATGAAGATTCACTATTACGACATCGTGCAGATGCCCGCACAGCTGGAAGCCGTCTCGAAGGCAACATACCATAAGACCATGGACAGTCTCCTTGCTGTTTCAGACTGTGTCATGGTTGCAACGCCGTTTAGCGGGGAGACACTCCTCAATGCATCTCTGCTGGCAAAGATGAAGGACGGCTCGCGACTGATTAATATCGCCCGTGGCAAGTTGCTCGATGAGAGTGCCCTTGTTGACGCACTGAAGAGTGGTAAGCTTGCTGCTGCGGGCTTGGATGTGCACTACAATGAGCCACGCGTCAGCCCGGAGCTTGCAAGCATGAAGAATGTTGAGATGATGTCGCACAATGCTGGTGCTTCAGTGGACTCACATATCGGATTTGAGAGGTTGGGTATGGAGAATATTACTGCTTTCTATCAAACTGGAAAGGCTGTTACGCCTGTCAATGCGCACCTAGTCGCCAAAGCGACAGGCTCAAAGCTATAGTGTTTGATCTGAATGTCATCATTGTTCATTATCACCTTCCTCCTCGACGTTCTACTCAACGCCGAGCCTGTAGTATGTTCCGGACCCTCTGCTCGACGCCGACCCATGTCGCGGTTAAGCTTAAGGCAATGGTGTGACTATTTATTTCTCGATCTTGTGAAAAACTTCTTTCGTTCTTACGTCCGTGTGTTCCATCAATCCTATCGCACTGCATCATCACAACTGCATCTCCAACCATCCCAATCCTGCTTCCATCTCATTAAACGTGTGTAGTATAACACCACGCCCACCCACATCCTTCATACTCCTCCCACCGGTATCTCCACCGCAAGGTATGCAAACAAACCAATGAGACACGTGACCGTCTCACCCTATATATTACCCCAATTGACAACATGCTAACCTTCCTTCCTACACAGCATGAGCCAGCACTCCGGTGCGGCCTTGGTGGCCCCCTGGGACCCCTACCGTCACGCCTTCGAGGTTGGCATCATCAACCTCAAGGACAGCATCGACCGTCGTGCCGTCCTGGCAAACACCATCCCGCTCGATTGCGAGGCAATCGAGGCTCTCAGCACACACATCTGGGAGACCAAGATTGAGTTTGCGAGGGTCATTCGCAACTTCCACGACCCCCTCGGGGCTGCCATGCTGGCTGACCTGTTCCAGCGGCTGATTGGCACCATGCCCAATGCCGATGGGGTGATCCCCTGAGGGGGTCGTGGTGTTAGGTCCCGGGCCCTGACCTGTGTAAGGTGGCTGGTCCATCTTGCATGGGTCAGGTATGAATGAATTCAAATGCTTGTTCACAATTTCTTCATTAAGAGTAAAGTAACGTCAATCTAAGAGTAGTTAGAGATATTAAGCGACCTAGTAGTTTCTTCATGTCTGGTCCCAGTTAACTGCGTCAGGGCATGATAAAATTCAAATGCTTCATCTCGACTTATCTTTCATTAATAATAGTAAAGTAACGCGGGTCTCAGAGTAAACAAAGGTATCAAGCAAAGCAGTCCATTCCTTCTCCGTCACTCCTCAACATGTACATCGTCACCCTAGTTCTTCATAACCGCCTGCGGAGGCTGAATGAACCCCGGCGCTTGAATAATCGCCTGAGGGGAGTCCGGTCCAAACGTCTGTACTTCGCATTCATCTTCATGCGGATGTATAGCAACCTTCGCGCCGCAATTTGGACAGAAATGATGCGAGTCATGACACAGCTCCATGCAGAATGGTAGACATGCACAGCAGATTCCGCCGAAGATACAACAGCACACTGCGGCCATACTAAAGTGAGAGATAGGATCGTTAGAAGTGAGACCAAGGTGAAGCGGGGATAGACCTACTCACGTTGTGGCGCTAGTGCTCTCCTTGTTCACTATGGTTTGGACCTCGTGGAAGCAAAAGGGACAACAGATCCATGCGGGCTTTTCACCAACTTGGGCTAGTGGGATAACGCTGTGGGCGACTGGAACTTGTAGGCCGGTTGGGACGGCTTTCTCGTTGGTTTGTGGTAATGTCGCTGCCGGTGCAGGTGCTGTGATTGCGTCTTTCTGGTGTCTGGTTTTGTTAGCTTGGGATGTTTTCTTAGACCGAGATGCATACTCATCGTATTGTGGGGGAGGTCCACTCTGCGCGGGTATGATCGCCATTGGGTCGGCTACCGGCAATGATCTTGTTGTAGTTGCGGTTGGTTCGACTGTAGTATCTGGCGTTGGTGTTGGTGTTGGTTCGACGGCAGCAACCGGTGTAATAGCCACTGTTGATTCTTTGTTGTTTTCCATGGTGAATATTCCGTCCGTAGTTCGATGGTAAAGGAAGAATCTGATCAACGAGCGCAAGGCGTCTTCTTAAATGTCGATGGAGTCAAGTGTGGGGTCCAATCCTATACGAGAACACGGGCAGATCAAGGGCAATGTGAGGCTATAACACCATAAACGGCCTAGCAAAAGCGTGCAAAAGCGTCCAGGCTGCCAATAAAGGAGGCCAACGGAAATTAGAGCCAAGTTTGGCCAATCAAGACGGATTTATACAGATCACATGCTTTGCGCCCGGTCACAGCCCCCTGGTTAGCTCGTAGTGAGCTTCCTTGGAGTCATCCGGTCTATTGGTGCCATGCAACTTGGCAGGCAAGTGGTTCGCTTTGTGTCTGGGCAAGTGTTTGGTTTCTTGTGAAGTCTGATTGGGAATGGATTACCACCAGAATACTCAACTGTAGTTAGATAATGACTAGAAAGAAGTAAACATAGAAATATGGCCGCTAATATCAACCCACCATGCAGATTTATCATGTGAAAGTACGGGATCTCAATTAGGCCTAGTGACTATAGCTTCTTTGACTAGATCCCGGACCGATTGTCGAAGTTGTGGTCGTCACATACCATCGCCGTCGCTGCAAGTGATAGCGACTCACCGCTGGCTTCTAGCACGAGCACTGCCTTCCACGGAAAGACATGTACAAGACTTACTCTCTTCTTTGCCAGGTCTTCTTTTGACCACAGAAGCATCTTAACCATCCCATCCAGCACGTTTACGCCAGGATGAACAAGACAGCCAATGAAATCGACGCCTCCTCGCACGATGCACGCTAGCAACCTAATAGCTCGAGCCTCAGTGGCCATTAGGCTGCAGAATATGAGTGACATCCCGAGCTTCCCGATAAGGCGCAATGTTGTTCTATGCCTATGATTTACATCGGTATGATGACCTTTTCAATCGGATGTATCCCGAAAAGACTGTGGAGAAAGCTATATCGCCTGAAAGCTTGGCTATCAGGCTTATTTGTAGCAACATCCGCTCACTCTTCGAACTCGAATTCTTCTACGATCAGTTGACAGGTAACTGTGGCTTCCGCTATTACGTGTGACATTCCCAGCTTCCTATATAGGCAAGGGTTTGTCTTCTTAGCTTCTGCTTATGCGCCCGGCTTCTGCCCTTGTTTCACATCATGGCTCGTGGCTTGTAAACAATCTCATCTGCAGTTCATGCCATCCACTCATAAAGCGAGAACTGAGAAAATGAATCTCACCGTTCGCTTTTTCCTACATGAGTCTGGCACATGGCTCTGCACTGCATGTCTAATGGTCCCTTTCCTTCTTTCTAGATACATCCGAATAAAGGAAACATGTCTCTGAATTACGGTGGCTTTGGTATTGGCCTTGTTTTAATTTCCGTGTTGGCTCCCTGTGTTGGTCTTCCAAGTCTGTTGATAAACAGATAGAAGAAACACCTTAGGAGGGCCTGTCATTCCTATGGCTAACATTGTTGCTTCCCAGCACGTTCTGATAGGCCTTTCTCTATCTTGTTCTGCTACATATAGGTTCTTCCCTCAACCTCGCTCCAAGTAGATACAGCATATAGAAAAGTATCTTCTATTAAGCAATCATGACATAATTATTTCAATCTCTCATAGATAGGAGAAACACAAGCATCAATTCAAGCTATAAATCAGCAATTCCATTGGGTATTCAATTCTAGCATGCAAGTAGTCTACCCATCGTAGCTATATACTCCCAGCAAACCCTCAAAGCGACGAACCCCGAGAATCCGTCTGCGGATACCCAATCGTAGCAAGCACCTGCGTCAGATGCTCCGGATTCTCCCGCAAAGCATCCCACTCGCCCTCGGCCTTAACCATCAGCGTCGCAGCCAGGATAGTGCCATTCAGCGAGAGCACGCCGTGGTCCGCGATCTCGCGCGCAGCGACACTGTCAGCGTCGACGGGGACAGTCGCCGTCTCCTGTCTGCGCGGACAGATCATCATCGTCGAGCGCGTCATGGCCAGGTTGTAGCTTATGCACGCTCGTCCGTGTGTGGGCAGCGACTCGGTGTCCTGGCTCGGTGTTCGTCCGCGCGTCGCTGCCGCGGCGGCCCGGTAGAGGGTTATGTATATGTCGTGCAGGATTTCGGCGGAGGGGTTTGGTGGGATTGGGAGGGCGAAGTGCGCGATGGGGAGGCCGGGGAGGTGCTGGAAGTTGGGTGTTGGTGTTTGGGAGGGGGAGGTTGGTTGGGGGGTTTGTTGCGTGAGGAGGTCGATCAGTGGGGACCAGGAGTCCGAGCCTGGCTGGCGCATTGCTTCGACGGGGAGGAATTGGAGGTGGCGGTGGGCTTGGCTTGCGCCGCTGTCGTCGCCGGAGTTGAAGAAGGCGAAGAGGCTCTTCGAGCTGTTGGAGTTGGAGCCATCGCTGTCGGTGTTCCAGGCTTTCAGAACCTCGTATGTAGCCTCTAGGTCAGCCTTGTCGAGGATGTCCGTCTGCGCCTGCCAGTCTTTTGTCACGAGGAGGAAGTGGTTCGGGATGACGGGGAATTTGTTGATGATGAGGTTGTAGGCGGGGTTCTCGGGCGGGAACTGGGCGATCAGAAGCTCCGGACATGGGTTCTGAAAGGGATCGAACTTTGGCGTTTTCGGGCCATTGTCCTTGAGATTGGAGGGTTTCTTTGCGAGGGCCGGGCAGTAGCGGAGTTGGTACTGGATGCAGGTTAGAACCGTCGTGGTCGGGTCTTAGCGTCACTCACTGATATTCCTGCGGCATTGATGATGGACAGATGGGTTGAGGAGAAGACGAGATGGCCGCTATCTCGGGCAGCTGTAAAACGTCTTGCGACCAGAGTGGACAGATGTTCTGAGAGTCCCAATTGCATCGTGGAGGTTGGATGGGGTAAACACCGGGGAAGATGGCAGAACATGGGGGTGAAGATCGGTAGGTGGGGGTCTATGGCATTCTTATATCTTTTCTACTTCAGACCTACACTTGCTGAGAATTCAAGACATTTGAAGATGGAATGTTTTTTGTTTTCAATTCAGACACTCATTCCTAGTCCCCAATTAATAGTGTCTTGGTACGAATCCCGCCAGCGGGATCAGGCATGAAGCCACGAGACCAGCCTGGACAGAAACAGAAACAGAAAACAAAGAACGAAAGTCATTAAGTGTCAGTCCCAAGGTATCATCCATAATCCGTAATCAGACAAATCGCTCGTCAAGACGCCACTGCTGTACGGAAACATGAGACATGAAAGAAATACACGAAAGGTCTCAAAAGGTAGAGAGTAAGGAGTAGGAGAAAAGACAAAAGAAAGTCGTTTAAGCCATTAATTCATTGAGCGAAAGCTCGTCATCATGAGACAGTTCCGGCAATAGCATCGCCGGCTGGCCCATAATGTAAGGCGAAGGACCGTTCAACCAAGGACCACGCTCCTCCTCTGTGGCACTGAGCACACCCTCAGCGCGCTTCATCGTCTCGACGTCCAGATCGGTAACGTAGGCATCCCGGTTGGTGCCATCGCCCGCACCGCCGAGCAGTCTCAGACGGACCTCGAACTCGTTATTGAGCATCATCTCGTCTTTCCACAGACGGCGCTGGCCATCAAAAACACACAGCACGCGCTTCTTCGTCTTCATGGTGCTGCTGGGACAGCCCCAGGACTGGGGGTAGTTGCCGCGGTTGTTGCGACGGCGGGTTACGACAGCGCGGGCGGGCTTGGAGACATTCTTGGAGACTGCATTTCCGGAGCCGATAATCGGGCGCGAGGCCGGGATGTTGCTCTTCGAGGATCTGGGTTTCGTCTTGAGGCCGCGCCAGCTGGCGGGATCTTGGGTATCGTCGTCTTCTTGGTCTTCGTAATCGTCGAATTGCTCGACCGGGCCGGGCACGTCGAGGAGTTGGTGCTTCTCCATGGTCTTCTTCACCTCCTCGTCTGACGCGACCTCTGCGAGGCGCTGCTGGTTGATCGCCTCGGAGGGCTCTTCTTGTTGTACGACGCGGAGGACACAGTCGTCCAGATGCTCGTAGAAGTCCTGCGCGTTGCTGAAGGTCGCTGAGCAGGTTGAACATTTTCCTGTCGCGTCGGGGCTATAGTTGGTGCCCTTCTTTAGTCCGGGGCTGCGCTTCCGGCAGTTCGGCGGGGTCTGTTCCACGCCGTGGACGGAGGTCAGGTGGCGCTTGAAGACGTCCGCGCGGTTGAAGCTCTTCTCCGCGGGGGAGCCGGATCCCGGGCAGAAGCCGCATACCATTGTTCCTTTGTAGTGGGTCAGGGTGTGGCGGTTTTTGTCGTACTTGCGCGCGAAACCCTTGATGTGGTACTCGCAGTTCATAATCGGGCACTTCTCGGGTCGCTCTGACTGGTGCGTCAACATATGGGCTTTCAGATCTTTGAAGACGCGACCACAGTCGGGGTGTGGGCAGCGCCCTTTCTCCTTAATTTCTTCGTCCGGTTCGATGCTGCTCAGCGCCGGGCTGTGTTGCGAGCGTCGGGAATGAATCGAGGAAATAGACGACCGTCGGTCATAGATAGAGAGCGGTCGTGAATGCGACCTGTGCGGGACCATGAGGGGAGATAGCCCATTGTGCTGCATTGCGGGTGAGTGGTGCTCTGCGAGATCATTATATGAGAGAGGTGAAGGTGCGGGAGAGTGGGAGATGTAGTTCGGTTGCACGTTTGAGTAGGAAGAGGTGGGTTGGTCGGGGTATGAGATAGTCGGGGTAATTCCAGGCCCTTGTTGCGTCGGTTGTATCAATGAGGGATCTGAATGCATTGTTAGTACACCAGACGGTTTGCGATTGATATCAACACGTACCGACAAAAGGGTCCGGGAATTTCTCTTGATAGGGCATATCCATGTCCAACATACTTCCCATGTATTCCTGCGAGAAAAGGTCGTCCATGACTGCGGCTGGTAGACCCAATCCGTGGTTCGTATTCACCCAATTCTCCTGAAATGCCTGCGCCGTTCCCGAGTATGGCGATCCCATCGCCGACGAAGATGCGCTCGCAATGGACTGCCCGGAGGCAGACCCGGTGGAAATATATGGCTCTGCGGAGTGAGACGCGGAGACCGAAGGCGGTGTGGCTGGTACAGAAGAGAAATATGTAGGATTGTGCAGATCTGCAGACTCCAGCAGAGGGTGGGTATCGTAGTAGGAATTGGAAGCACTGGGCATATCGTGGCCGTGGCCGTGTGCGTAGTTGGGGAGACTCTCCAGGGGAAAGGAGAACATGGAAGGATCCATCATGGGATCGAAGTATAGCTGTTTCGGCCGGGCAGCTTCGACAGCCATCATCTTGGATCGGGCGTGGAAGGGAAAGAGGGTGAAATCAGGGTTGGATTCAAAAGTGGTCATCTCCTTGATTGAGAATGCAATGCGCGAGGGCGATCCTAACATAGCCAGCTGGTCAGTACATGCTGTCTCAAGATTTTCCGTTGCGACGCATGGACATACCGGTGATAAGGTTCCTGGGTAAGATCGCGGCCCGCTCGGCTAACCAAACACGCCAGCCACGAAGAGGCAACGTGCGCAATTGACAGAGAGAATCGGATTCTTATGAACGGAGGTAAGGAGGTCGATTATGATATCGCAAGGCAGGGAGGTCACAGCAAGTTGCAACTCCACAGACGCGGGTAGCGAGGCAAGATCGACAAAGGAGGCGAAGAAGGTTAAACAAGCGTACCCGGAAGTGGTCGAGGGATGCGCTGGATTGAGTCAATGATTTAAATTCGTACCGGAGGGGAGAAGAGGATATTATAGATGTCGAGGAGATTGTTAAATGGTGACGATGGGCCCGCCCTACAGTAGTTAGTTATAGTCTTGTCTATAATTATATTTTATTTAAAAAGTGAAAATAAAAGGAAAATGGAATTGAAATAAAAAATGAAATGAAATGAAAATCATAAAAAACACTTCACATAGTAAAAAGCAAATATCAAATAAATAAATAATAATCCAGTAACCATTACATACCATTACATACTGTATCTCTGGCACGAACCGGTTGAACGTGGCTGTGAACATGGACAGGGAAACTTAGGGCCCCTCCTTCGGGTTATTAGGCTTAATCGGATGAGTAATCGCTGTTAATTAACTAGTCATGTGCTCTTACCTTCTGCTTGTGTACACTCTATTTTCTACTCCGTACAGCTGCACGGTACCCATATATCTACGCCATAAGCTCAGCCTTCGTCAGGCATGTCTATGCTGTCAACAGTCAATATAACCCACTGTCTCCGCATGGTTAGTACCTTCTGGGTTCTGACAGCTCGTCTGGCTTTATCCACTCTTGCCTCACTCTGCCCTACGGGGTACATATGATCCCCGAATATATCCCCGAATACGGAGTATTTATCCCGGAATTATCTCCATAATTATCTCCGGAATATTAGTTTTTCAAAAGTACTTTCACCGAGGCGATCGTCCATCGGGTTCGTGGAAACCGATCGATGGCGCATCGAGCACAGCTGCGACGGAGTAGTCCTCTTCAAATTATACTTTTGACGATAGGAGAAGCTCCTGTCAGAAAGTTGACCGTTGCACCAAGAGCCACCTCGGGTTCTAGGAGCCACCTATATACTCAAATGTTACCTATATGATTAATCGTTTACCCTGTCGTCATCGGCATCTCCGTTCTGCAAAGTAGAGCTGCCCCGAGGCTTGGCGCCATGGCCCCTTTTCCCCAAAAATACATTTTTAACCTCTCTTCGGCATTGTATATAGGCCTAGACTACTTTTGACCTAGCTTCCATGCAATGGATCAGTGGATCTACATCTGTCTATCCTCTACTCCATACTTCGTATCTCGGCAGTCAGAGTCAGACTCCGTACCCGTTCCACTCTTTTGCACCAAAATCTGACCCAGAGAAAGAGCGGACGGAATTCTTTTCAGATAAACTAAGATAAGCAGACAATGCAATAGACTCAGATCTGGTGCCTTCTCCTTTTCTATGAAAAGGAAGGGGAATATAAGGCATGTTAGAAGAACACATAGTTATGTTGTACACATACTTGTACAAATACAATCGGATCCCATAAGTTCGGTCGATCCGTGACGGGGCCCCATCTCCTCCATAACTTGGCAGGCCGACCGCGTGCCCGGAAGGGTGATTGGTCCATATGTGCCAACCCAACGAACAGGAAAATGAGGGCTTGCTAAATTCTCTCCAATCAGACATCTGAAAGGCTCTCCGAGGGCTCGGTGGGCTTCCTTAGCGTCGGGTGAGTTCGTATCAGTCCCGCCCACTAGTCCTTCTCGGTAATCACGAAAGGCGATCCTACAGTGTGTGTTGTCCTCTGATTTCCGAGGCTGCCGTTCAAGAGCCGCATTCTTTGGTGATCGCGATGTGGCCTGCTTCCAAGGTCCCCTGGTTGCCTTTTACGTCATTTAACTGGAGGAAGTAACTAACTAGGTGTCACCTCCTTGAGTACTGTAGTGTCAATCTGTCGACGGCATGGGTTTATATGTATAGATGATCTGTACACCCCTTGATGATCTGATCACCAGGTTGCATATCCGAAGAACCCAATGGTGGGACTACCCAAAATGGAAAGAACCTCAATTAATATTTTCTCGGATGCACGGTGATATAGTGACATTTCCCATTTTTCAGTCCGAGATTCGGATGCCGGTTAATCTGTACGATCCAATCCCTCAATCCATCAAGATCCCTGGGTTTATTATATACCGAACACCACCATGGTGATATACAAGACGAAGGAACCCAATCTCGGCCCTACTCTCCGCATTTCCGATGACAGCATCTCAGATTATCTAGATCCAGATCATCTACACTAATTACGCCATAGCCCTAGCTAGCCCAAGGGATAACAGTGCGAGCTGTCACTCGGAGTGTCCGTGTTAGGGGCCGATGC